TTCCAGTTGTGAGGCTGAGATCTACGCAGGGGCCATGGCTGCACAGGAGTTACGCTGGCTCACCTACCTGCTGACCGACTTGGGAGAGCCGCCGCGTTCTCCTCTAGTTTTGTACGTAGACAACAAGGTCATGATTGCCTTGTGTCAGGAGCACAGACTGGAGTACAGGACGAAGCACATCGCTCTGCGTTACTTCCTTGCTCGAGAGTTGCAACTGCGTGGTCAGCTTCGTCTTGCTTACGTGGCCACTCGGGCCAACACTGCTGATATATTCACCAATGCACTTCAGCCTGTTGATCATCAGCGTTTCTGTACTGTTTTAGGCCTTGTGCCTGTTGTGTCTCACTTGCTCACTGCGTGACTTTGCTTGTACTGTGATCTATATACATATACGTGCATGTTTACCACTGCTAGGTTATGATAACTGTACTGTTTGTTCTCGTTTATATAACTCTGCATGTGGACTGGCCTTGTGGCCATTTGCTTGTGCTCAGAGTGTGTGGTGACTTTATGATCCACCCTGAGCTTGCTTTGCTTTTTCTTGACTGGTCTTGTGACCTCCTGTTCTCCTCCAGTTTGCCTATGGGGGTGTGTCAAACTGTTATAATGCTTATATTGTGTAGGCTGTAGTGGGGTAGCCCATAAAGGGTACAACCCAATTAGGGTTAGCACTTGTACTCCATTTCTTCTCAATGCATTCCTTCTCGTTCAGTTTCTTGAGAGTGGCAGCAGTAGCAGCAGTAGCGCCAGCAGCTGCAGCAAGGGCGGCTCGGCAGGGCAGCAGAAGCGCAGGCGGCAGCAGTAGCTCAGCAACAGCAGCAGCTGAGCAGTAGCAGCAGCAGCAGCAGCAGGGCGGCTCGGTGGGCTGGGCAATGCTGCAGGGCGGCGCGGCTCGGGTTGGGCGGCGGGGCTCGGCAGGTCTGGGCGGAGCGGGGGCCTAAGGGCAGGGCGGCCCGCGGGCCTAAGGGCAGGGCAGCGCGGCTCGCGGGCTGCAGGGCAGGGCAGCGCGGCTCTAAGGGGCAGGGCGGCGCGCAGGCCTCAGGGCAGCAGAAGAGCAGCAGCAGCGCGGTTGGCAGCAGCTGCGTAGCAGCAGCAGCGCACGGCAGCGCGGTTGGCAGGGCACAGCGCAGCAGCGCGTACGGCAGCAGCAGCTCAGGTGCAGCAGTGCGCAGGGCCTCAGAAGTCAGGATTTTTACCCTGAATTCCTGAAGTTTGACCCTCGTTTTTTATCGTGACCCTGATGTATCAGCCTTTTTTTTTTAACGACCCTGATGTTTCAGTGTTTTTTTATGTGTAACTCTGTTTCTTCAGTGTTTTGTGTTTGAGGACACTGACGAGTCAGTGTTGCATCGAGTTCGACCCTGAAACTAGAAACGGCGCAATCTGATTGGCCCAAGTGTTGTAGGGAGTTCATCCTGTGATTTGCGCCATGACCTGCTACTTCGGCTGTCAAGCTCCTACAGTACCGCCAGCTGTTTTGCTGCACATGGCATCCTTCGTGCCAGGTGGTAAACTTCTCAAGTTCTGATTGGTTGCCACTAATAACCTGTACCCTCTTGACTGTTTTGGCCTCGCAGCACACAAAGCCAGAGGTACGTGTTTCCCTCCAATGCTGGCATCGTGGTGCTGGTGTGGTGTGCTGAGCAAACCATACTCGATGCTATCATAATTCCCCATACTAGCAAAGAAAATCAGTGTTTATGTTATTTAGAACACTGATTGATCAGTGTAATTCTTTTGTGAACACTGAAAAATCAGTGTTTTTTAGATGATGACACTGAAAATCAGTGTTAGTCCTCAAAGAACACTGAGTGATCAGGGTGCCCCAAAACCAATCTGAGGCCCTGGCAGTGCGCTAGCAGTTCGCGGGCAGGGCGAGCAGCGCGCGGGCAGCAAATGCAGCGCGCGAGCATTAGGGGCAGCGCGAGAGCAGCGGGCGCAGAGTGCAGGCAGGGCAGCGCGCGGGCTGCAGGGCAGGGCGTCGCGCGGGCTGGGCAGCGGGGCACGTGCGCTGGGCAGCGGGGCGCGCAGCCTGGGCAGTGGGCGGCACGTGGCTAGGCAGGAGAAATCGACGCGCCTAGGGCGCGTTTTGGGCAGGATAAAAAAAAACGATTCGGGCAGGAAATTGAAGACTTAACGGTGGGCCCTTTTAAAAATCTGGTCCTAAGGACCTAATGGCTCTTTATACCATGTTGAACTAAGAGGAGAGGAATGATGGACTAGGTCAAAGGGTGGGGTACAAGAGAGTGTCGAGGGAATTGATGTACCCCCTAACATGCAAATCACTATAGGCTAGATAACTAAAGTGAATATAACTTTGACACAATATCCGATCGAAAACTGCACCCTACCCCCCCCCCCCCCCCCCCGGCCATCTGAGAGTTTTCTATTTTCACTTCACAGGGAATTGGTGGTAAATTCAGGGAATTACAGGGCCATAGTTTGTAGTACTGATACAAAGTATCACGCGAGGTACAGCTTTCCTCAAGAGCATGACTAGGCTTCAAAGCTCACCCCACAGAAGCAGTACCAGGCAGAAAGTCACTACTCACCACTACGAGGGGAGAGCGGAAGGGGGTAGGGGGAGGTCGGGAGGGTGTGGGCATCAGGGCGGGAGGGAGTGGGGGGAAGGGAAGCGCGGGAGGAGGTGGGGGGAAGGGAGGGAGGGGGTGGGGGGGAGGGCGGGAGGGATGGGGGGCAAGGCGGGAGGGAGTGGGGGGGGGGGGGGCGGGAGGGAGTGGGGCGGGGGGGGGAGGGGGAGGAGTGGTTGGGAGAGCGGGAGGAAGAGGGAGGAGGGTGGGAGGGAGTTGGAGGGATGGCGGGAGGGGAAGGGGAGAGCGGGAATGGGGGTGGAGGAGCAGGAGACAGAGGAAGGGGAAGGGGCAGGAGACGAAAGGAGCAGGAGAACGAGCATCATAGAAAGAGACGAGAGGCGCAAATAGGGCAAAGGGCTATGACGCCAGAAGCAGGGGAGAAGCGTGAATGAAGCGGAAGAAAGGACTGAGAGTCCAACAGGCCGAAGAAGGCATGTGAAGGTAAGAGGAGCCTCTCATGATAGGACTAGCTTCCGTCGAGAGAGGGGATAGGAGGGGAGGGGACCAGGAAGAGGGGGGGGGGATGCTTAAGGGCAGCAGGGCGAGACATAAATGTTCAGCAATGAACAGAGAGGGGGGGAAAAGGACAAGAGAGCTGATGAGAGAGTTCCACAGAGGAACGGCTGGCGGCATGGAGTGGACGGCAGGACGGTCAAAACAGATACGCATTCCGTACAATCAGGGAAGCAGCATGACGCATCTGGAAGCCTGGTGGACGGGAGTGTAGGGAGTGTAAGGAGAGTCCGGGAGTGGGAGCATCATCATACCTGGAATGCCGAGTGGCAGCAGCGAACTGACAGCTGCGAGCGAGGCGCTTTCGCCGGAGGGCGACGATTTGAGGGACCGACGAAGGCGAGGGAGGGGCGAGCGACAAGAGCACAAGGCAGAAGGGAATCGGCCGGGAAGAGACCAGGAGGGAAATGAATAACCGTGCAGTTGGAAGCCGCTGGGGTTAAAGGAGACGGGCGGGGGAGACACGAAGGGCCTGGGGAAGGGATGAGGTAGTGCGATGCGTGCGTTTCGGCTCCCACTCGTCGCACGGAGCGGCATCTCTCGCTCTTCACGCACGGCCGCCGCGGCATCGTTTCCTATCCCATCTCGCACGCAGGCTCGAGTCGCCTACGACTCGACCACTACCACTGTTTATGGCATCGTCAGAACAAATCTTCTCGAGGAGGGGATGAAAAGGCACGATACTACGTGCATCGTGGCGCCAACTCGCTGCACCCATCTCTCGCACACCGCCGCGCCCTTCTCTCACGGCGGCATCGTTTGCTGTTGTTTTGGTTATCATCTCCCACGTGCCGGCAAATGATGGCATGTTGGCGGGGGTCTACGGTATACTGATCGCAAAGAACGGCACTTGCAGGTCGCCGCCACTTGGCGGGAGAACGCCGCCTTAGAAGAAGACACATCCCCATCTCCCCCTCTCTCTCCCTTTCCGCCCCTATCTTTCTCTCTTCCCGCCTCCCCAGATGAGCAATATTAACCATTCGCCCCGTGCCGTGCTCGCACTGCCGTCGCGATTCGTCTACGATTCGGCCTAGAATCTTCAGAACAAATCTCCCCCGCGGCCACGTGCCAATGCCTTGTTGACGGTGCTCGCTCCCACAAGCGCAGCGAGCAAAACTGGCGGTGCTGACCCTCCACACTACGAAAAAAACAATGTGTGTTTGAAAGGCGTTCGCGGCTAAAACCAGCCCGATTTGCCAGGCGGCGCGGTTTTCTGGCACGCAGCACCATGTGCAATGTGGCTTTTAGGGATGAGATTGGGAGGCTTCATTTGGCGTGATAACTCCTCGAGGTGATGATGAATTTTCCCTTTGCTCCACAGGGAGGTGAGGTTCAGGGTTTTACATTGTGCCTCACAGAAGCAGCACTCTCTTTGGGTGCGCTGCTTCGATAGTGAGTAAAGAGTGCTTCGTTAGACAAGGAAAATTAGTTTGTTCAACTACAACAAATTTACTATGAGCTGTATAGGGGAAGGATGGGAAGGGGGGAGGGGGAAAGGAGGTCACTAAAGCATGACTGTCTTGCCTTGGTGGAAGAAAACGATATTTTGTGGGCAAACTTGGATTACAATACAGATGACTAACATACATCCTAATATATATGATATACCGTCCATCCCCCAGGCAATGCACACCTTCCCCATGAAACACAAAACACGTCTTTGGCTTTCTAATAGATGCAAGGTACGAATTGACTGCACACTTCAACTACGGAAATCAAACAACTCCCAACGAGCCCACCATCGCCGCCACCAACAATCCCTGCACAGGAGCTGTTACACTTACGAGGGCTGACAGATCTCAACAACTGGCCTGCCATAGCTGCCCCCAACAGTCCCCGCACTTGAGTCGACTCAAAAGCAAATGCAAGCCAGACATTGGCTGCAAGCTTCAATCACGAGGGCAGGCAGATCTCAACAACAGGGTCGCCACTGCTGCCACCGAGAGTCCCCGCACACGGGTCGTTGTACTTCTCATACAGCAACGTTTTTCTTTTGAAATACCTGTTGATGATACCGCTACAAGGTGCCGCTGCTTTGAACTTCCTTGGTACTCCCAGGTCGCATTGACCATAAAGACCAACAGGCAGGGCCTCGGTACATATCTTGGGCCAAAGAGCCTGCACATTTGTGGATGCCCGCATGTTAGAAAGAAGTGTGACTCACTCAGAACACTTGAAACGGACAACAAATATGTATGCAAAACGGAAGGATTGTAAGGCATGTATCAGGCTGTGATTGAGATGCGGAGAGACGGCAGTGCATGGTCAACAACAAAATAGGAAGCAATTTTCGATAACAAACGGGCAATGCTCAGCCTCCTCTGACTCACCCCCAGACTGGCAGTTTGTGAGCTGTAGCACACGAGCCCTGGGTTCAGCCGGTAGAGCTCAATCAAGGAAGAGAACTCAAAGTCCTTCCCCACCTGCGCACAGCTGCTCGTGCCGCTGACCGAGTAAGCTGTATTGCAGAACTCTCCGCTTCCGTCATCCGCCCCATCTTCCCGCTCAATGCAGAGGGAGCGCGACGGGGGCAGGGGTGAGGAGCAGTCAACGCCGGGGTTGAGGTTCTCAAGGGACAGAGAGGAGATGGCGAGTGAGGCCGCCACTGACTCGCATGTGTCGCCCTGCATTGGATCGGGTGGGGGGCGGGTGGGGGGGGTTGTAGGTGGAGGAGGGACGAAAGCAAGTCAGCCTATAGGGATGATGCCAGGGAGGAGATGCCTAGAGGGGCTGCGAGGGGATTCGCGTGTTTGGATTTTGGGGGAAAGGGGGAGGGGGAGGAGTGTGTGGGTGGAGCAGCAGGGAGGTGCAATGGGCGAAAAAGGTCAGCCCAAAAATAGCATGTGATGCAGAAGAGAAGCAGGTCAGTGGAGAGCCTGAAGCAGGTGAAAACAACAGCAAGTGAGATTAAGCAACAACAGCAAGTGAGATTAAGCAACAACAGTAAGTGAGATTAAGCAACAAGAGCATGACACAGCAAGCAGGGGTCAAAGAGAGACAGCAGCTACAACAGCTAGCACAGAGCACATGACAGGACAGGGTGCAAAATAGGCGACTTACCGGTTGAATGAAGTAGAAGACAGAGCAAGGGGTCAAGTCTTCCCTCTCAGTCACTTTGAGTGTTTGACCTCGGGTGAGGGCAGCAGAGCAGTCCACGCCCTGCCAGCCAGCACACACGCACACAGCAAGGTGAACGACTGGTCTTGACAGTCACGAGTACCTCTCATTGCAAAAGAAGATGCATCCACAGGATATCTTGGGATGTACTTTGGTGACTTTTGAGTCGACTCAAAAGTCACCTCGACGGTTATGAGTACCTCTCATTGCAAAGGAATTGGGATGTACTTGGGATGCATGCATGCATGCAGGATATCTTGGGATGTACTTTCGAACAGGCCCTCACATTGTTCTGTGCAGTGAACTCGTCAAGAGTGAGTCCATAAAGAGGATAAACGTCTTCACACCGCCAGTTGTCTCCTTGCACCTTGAGCGTTGGAGACGAAGATCCTGTGCACGCGCAAGGCCGGCGAGAAAGACCAAAGACACGGAGACTATCATGCGCACGCGCACTGCCACTGACAAAAGACCACACATAGTCTTGCATTCAGGAAGCTGTGCAGTTTGGAAGAAAAATCTAACTCTCACTTGCTCTGGTGCACCATTTTGGTCAGAAAACAGCAAAACAGATTGCAATTGTTTTTCTTAGATCCAATGTGCCTCACATATGGTGAGAACTGCTGTCAGACCAAAGCCACGGCAGACCAAAGCCAAGGCAGACCAAAGCCAAGGCAGACCAAAGCCACGGCAGACCAAAGCCACGGCAGACCAAAGCCATGGCAGACCAAAGCCACGGCAGACCAAAGCCAAGGCAGACCAAAGCCAAGGCAGACCAAAGCCAAGGCAGACCAAAGTTAAGGCAGATCAAAGCCAAGGCAGACCAAAGCCAAGGCAGACCAAAGCCACGGCAGACCAAAGCCAGGGCAGACCAAAGCCAAGGCAGACCAAAGTTAAGGCAGATCAAAGCCACGGCAGACCAAAGCCAAGGCAGACCAAAGCCACGGCAGACCATAGCCAAGGCAGACCAAAGCCACGGCAGACCAAAGCCAAGGCAGACCAAAGCCACGGCAGACCAAAGCCACGGCAGACCAAAGCCAAGGCAGACCAAAGCCATTGCAGACCAAAGCCAAGGCAGACCAAAGCCAAGGCAGACCAAAGCCAAGGCAGACCAAAGCCACGGCAGACCAAAGTTAAGGCAGATCAAAGCCAAGGCAGACCAAAGCCAAGGCAGACCAAAGCCACGGCAGACCAAAGCCACGGCATATCGTGCCAAGCATGTGAATAGAGAGGGGCAGAGAGCATACCCGTATTGACAGGTGCCGCAGAGAGCATACCGTAATCACAGGTGGGGTATCCGTTGCTTTTGGATGGGACGCGATTGGGCGGGCAGACACAGGAGTAGGAGCCGGGGCCACCGCTGATGCAGGAGCCATACTTGCAGGGGTTGCGAGTGCTGTTACCACACACATCCGCTGGTGGGGTGGCGGGAGGGGGAGGAACAATGTATGCCTATGAGGTGCCTTAGGAATACAGCAATGCTTGCAGGGGTTGCGAGTGCTGTTACCACACACATCCGCTGATGGGGGTGGCAGAGGGAGGGAAGGGGAGGGGGGGCGGGAGAGGGGGGGGGGGGAACAGTTTCTTTCTGTAGGCGCCTCAAGAAGAGAGCCCCACCTTGCATGGGATACAGGTATGCAGCTGTGTGAGAGGGGATGCCTCTTTAATCCGGAGGGGAAGGTGACAGCTGCAAAGGAATGTGGAAGAGGCAGAGGGCTAGGTGGAATAGACGCACCGAGACCGTTTATAATACATGCAGGGTTGCAAAACACAAGGATTGCTCATGAATCGACTAAAAAAATAGATGCACAGAGACCGTTTATAGTCTCCAGGGTTGCAAGACACAAGGACAGTAAGCAATGTCAGGCGGAAATGCTCACGATCTGTTGGGGAGGGCGCAGGAGGTGGGTCTTCCGACGTATCAATGGGCTCAAGCAAAGAGTCGTCGTCGAGCTCCGAGGTTGCAGCGCACCTGCATTCCGCAGGGCACGCCTGGCAGATGTCCTCTGGAGCACCGCCAGTGAGGGGTTGGTAGGGGGAGGGAAGAGAGGGAGGGGAGGAGTGTGGAACACAGCACACTGGGGAGTTGAGAGCTGAGGATGGGAGTGGAAGAGATGAAAGGAGAGACGAGAGGAGAGCAGAAGAGCACAGAAGAGAGGAGGGTAGCAGATGAGAAAGAGAAGGAAAGATGAGAAGAGAGAAGGGGGACGAAAGGACTGCTGGGAGGCGGAAGGGATAGAGACCAGCACGGCACACACCAGCGATGCAGGGGAGCATGGAAGCATGGAAGCATGGAAGCATGGAAGCATGGAAGCAGGGAAGCAGGGAAGCAGGGAAGCATGGAAGCATGGAAGCAGGGAAGCAGGGAAGCAGGGGAGCAGGGAAGTAGGGGAGCAGGGAAGCAGGGATGAGACCTCATTGCTGACTGCTCTGCATCAGAGTGTCCACTGGAGCTCCTTGCATTGCAGTGATACATAATGGACTACTAACGCTTGTGCAGCACAAGGAGTACCAGTCTCGAATGTACTATGCAGCGACAAGGCTCTTGCATTGGCGCGTGCTTACCGTCTTCCCTGCTTCCCTGCTTCCGTGCTTCCGTGCTTCCGTGCTTGAATCGAATGTAATATGCAGCGACAAGGCTCTTGCATTTGAGGCACATGCTCACCGTCTGTTGGCAAGGTTTCGGATGGAAAATTAGCCGGAAGGTCGTCCTCCATAAAATACAATGAGCCACCCAGTGAATCGATGGACTCAGGTGGAGGGTCGATGCCGTCTGATCTTTTAGAATTCTCAGAAATCGCTCTTGCACTTGCACATGCTTACCGTCTGCTGGCAAGGGTTCGGATGGAGTGTCGTCCTCTATAAAATCCAATGAACCATCTGGTGAATCAATGGGCTCAGGTGGAGGGTCGATGCCTTCTGCGGCTGCATTGCACCTGCATTCCGTGGGGCACGCCTGGCAGATGTCCGCTGTAGCACCGGCAGTGAGGGTTTTAGAGGGGGAGGGGAGAGATGGAGGGGAGGAGTAAGGCAGACAGTGGGGAGAAGAGAGCTGAGGATGGGAGTGGAAGAGAGGAGAGGAGAGATGAGAGGAGAGCAGAGGAGAACAGACGAGAGAATGGAGGCAGACGACAGAGAGAAGAGAGAAGACAAGAGAGCAGGGGGACGAAAGGAGTGTTCTAGGCGGAAGGGAGAGAGACCAGCACGGCATGCACCAATGATGTAGTTGAGCAGGGCAGCAGGGGAGCAGGGGAGCAGGGCTCTTGCTCTTGCACATGCACATGCACATGCTTACGGTTTGTTGGCGCGGTTTTGGGTTGAGCTGGAGGGTTTGTTGGCGCGAGTTCGGGTTGAGCTGGAGGGTTTGTTGACGAGGGTGAGGAGAGGAGAGGAGAGGAGAGAGGAGAGGAGAGGAGAGGAGAGGAGAGGAGAAGAGAGGAGAGGAGAGGAGAGGAGAGGAGAGGAGAGGAGAGGAGAATGGGAAAGAAGAGAAGAGGGGAGGAGACGAGCTGAGTGTTGAATCTCGTATAGGCTACTAGAGAAACGGAATGTGCAAGAGAGAAAGGAGAGTGCAAGGACTTGTAAAGAACGGCAGAGTAGAAGAGAGAAAGGAGAAGAGGCAAGGCAAGGGAAGGGAAGGGAAGGGAAGGGAAGGGAAGGGAAGGGAAGGGAAGGGAGGGGAGGGGAAGGGAAGGGAAGGGAAGGGAAGGGAAGGGAAGGGAAGGGAAGGGAAGGGAGGGGAAGGGAGGGGAAGGGAAGGGAGGGGAGGGGAGGGGAAGGGAAGGGAAGGGAAGGGAGGGGAGGGGAAGGGAAGGGAAGGGAAGGGAAGGGAGGGGAAGGGAATGGAAGGGAAGGGAAGGGAAGAGACGGGAAGAGTTGAAACGAGACGACATGGAGAAGAGGGAACAGAGGAACCGAAGGAGTGCAGCAGGAGGGAGATGGAGAGGGAGAGCAGCAGTGGACTCACCAATGATGCAGCGAGCGGACTTCAGTGGCTTGGCAATCTTCCTCGCCCTGTTTCACGGGCACAAAAAGATCAAGGGAGGATCATTGAGAACAGAAAATTGTGGTCCCTATCATGTGCTGAAGTTGCAGGAGAAGCAGGAGGAGCAGGAGAAGCAGCGATCCAGGGAAGCAGGGGTGCAGGGCTGTGAGGTGCAGGCGCGGCGAGCTCACCGCTGCCTGCCGTGCATCAGAGTGCCCACGGGCGTTCCTTTGCACCCGGGCTTGGAGAAGAATCGAATCTCGCGGCAAGCAGCAGGTGCGCCCGCCTGCGTCCACGCCACCTGCACCTGCTTGCCGCCGCCGCGGCGGGCGCTCTTGGCCGCCTTGGCCGGGATGTTGATGTTGACGCAGCGCAGCGAGTTGAAGGTGATCGCGCGGCCGTTGATGCTCACCCGCGTGCCCACGGTGTTGATTGCCGCGCCACTGGCTGCTCCTGTATTAGTTAAGGGTATGGGGGAGTTTGGGAGAGGGGGAGCATGGGAGCAATGGAGCATGGGAATGCGCATGGGTGCAATGGAGCATGGGAATGCGCATGGGTGCAATGGAGCATGGGAATGCGCATGGGTGCATGCACGAATGGGATCATGAAGCACATGGGGGTGACATCATGGGCGCATGAAGCACATGGGGGTGACATCATGGGCGCATGAAGCACATGGGGGTGACATCATGGGCGCATGAAGCACATGGGGGTGACATCATGGGCGCATGAAGCACATGGGGGTGACATCATGGGCGCATGAAGCACATGGGGGTGACATCATGGGCGCATGAAGCACATGGGGGTGACATCATGGGCGCATGAAGCACATGGGGGTGACATCATGGGCGCATGAAGCACATGGGGGTGACATCATGGGCGCATGTACGTGCATCGGTTTATGTAGGCAAGAATTATGGGAGCATGAGAGCATGGGGGACTAGGAGAATGGGAGCAAGAGAGCATAAGAGCATGGGAGAATGGGAGCATGGGCGCATGTGAGCATGGGGGAGCATGTAAGAGCATGGAGTCAGTGAGAGTTGAGCATGAGAGCACGAGAGCACGAGAGAAGACACGGGAGCAAGGAGCATGGGGTAAAGCGAGAATGGGAGCAGGAAGCAGAGGCGCACCAGCGGCGATGACGAGAGTGAGGAGCAGCGCAATCAGCGTAATCACGCCATTTACACTTCCGACGCACCGCATCGTGCAATCAGCTGGCGGTCACGCGCGCACGGAAGGAAGATACGGCGGGCGATGTTACGAGTGGCGATACTCGCACGGGTGATATGCGATTTTGAGGAGTAGAGATGGTTGCGGAGCAGCCTACGATGGACTGTTGAGCATGTGGAATAGCGGACGGTTTCAGAAGCTCGAGAGAGCACGGGGGCTATAATCATATGCGGTAGGGGAAAAGAGGACGAGATACTGGCGCTGTAGTGACAACATGTAAGATTAGCACTCGTGGCGCCGTAGTGGTGAGGGAGAAGGAACTGAGTGCGGATTAGACTACAACACGTAAGATTATCACCACTCGTAAACGAGTGTGAGAGCCTGCTGCTACCAGTGTCCTAACGACTGCAGAATCCGTCGATTTCCAGTTCAACAACGTTGCAACTCCGATTTGCGAGAAATGGCTTTGGCTCCTGCCATGGATCTCCGTGATTGCTCAACTCGCCTTCCCTGACACGCCCATCCACCCCGACCAGAGGCGAAATGCCTACTGGTACTGCGACTACTGCTAGTTCAAGCACAAGCGGGAACGCGGTCAGCGGCGTCGCCATCGCCGCCGCAAGGAGCGGAGAGTAAGCGTTCTTGCGACTTGCGACTTGCGCTGAGCGATGGCCTCGGCGCCGAGCGAGGCGGGCGATGGGAACGCGTTCTGAGCTTGCCAAGTCCCATCAATTACTACTTGTAGTAATGGGTTGGAATTCGGGATGCGAATACCATGTAGTGAATTATTTGAGGCACCACCGCAAGAAGCGGAGTCAAACAGGGGAAGAATGGGATGGCTGGCAACGGTGGAATGATTTTGCGCTGAAACTGAACCAATTAACTGGCTGGTGCTTTCAATCGCGTCGCGTTCTGCTTCAGCCAATCAATCAGGCCGCAGTTCTTCAATGGCGGGAGAGTGGCCACAAACGAGTCCGTCGTGCTGAACGCGTTCTGGGCAATGAAGGAGAAGCAGGCGGATACTCACAAACAACGGCTTCGTTAATGAGTTTTGTTTTTTTAATTGAAAGCTTACACAACAGGTGTACAAGAAAAACACTTCAGTCGTAACTGATTCTGCGGGCTCAAGCCAGGTGGTTTACCCGGCCCTCCCTGCGATCCTACGGCGGTTTCACAAACGTCCTTGGGTTTGACCAGATCGACTGGAAGTCCCCGTGCCACTTCAAACCCACTACCATGCTGTCGCAGATTCTCCGCATGACACGTGCCTTATCCTTCCGAGCCTGCTTACTTGGCCTGCTACAGTACACCCGCGCGTGTTTGTTGAACTCCACGTTTATCCTCCTAAGCACCTTCCGAGCCTGGATCTTCTTGAGCGACACGTCACACCTCCCCAGCCAAATCTGGTGCACCGCTATCGCCGCCATAGTCGCCTCCGGAAAAACCAGAGTTCGTCTCCTCCGTCCTGAGCAACAGGTCCGCCAGCTCATCCACGTGTCTCCCCGGCTGCATCATGCACAGCGCCGACTTGACCGCAGCCACCACCGGCAGGATGTGGGGACATTCCAGCAAACAGTGCTCCAGCGTCTCTGTCCCGCCACAGTGCGGACACGTCACTCCGCCTCCCAAGAAATAGACCCTCTCCCCCACCTGAAGGTTGAGGTTCTGCACCCGTAGTAAAACATCTCTCGCCCTTGCCGGAACAGCGAGGGAGTCCCTTACCCTCCTCCCCCGTTCCCAATCAATGCTCCTTCCCGCCCGTGCTTCCCATTTCGCCCGCTTTTCCGCCACAGCTTCCGCCCCTTTGCTCGGCTCCATGAGTTTCCTCAATGAAGCCACCTCCCTTCCATCAAACAAGCCCGTCTCCAGCAGCCTTACCCTGGGGTCACCTGCATCCCCGCCACTCGCCCCTGGTAGAGCCTCACAGGAGTAACGCTCTCACAGCGCAATTCCAATCTGACGTTCCACGCAACATGTTCACCGCTTCCGTTCAGGGCCTGTAGCACGACCTTCCTGCCGTTGATTCCGCACACCTCCCAGAGGCACCTTTTTGGGCTCGGCAGCGTGGTGCTTACCACCGACGATATACACTTAAACTCCTCCACCGTTAACGGAGCCAGCAGCCACTCCCTCCACCGCGCTGGGGCCGCATAGAAGGCTTTGAGCGCCATCTCCGCTCCCTTCTTGTCGCCCAGCTCCCGAGTTAGCACATCCTATGACTTTACGCTTACTGTGCCATCCCACTTGTGCACTATCATGTCCTGCATCCGCCACTTCCGTATCAGCTCCGTCCCTTTCTGGCCTCCGAATGGGGCCTTCCCTCGGTGTGGAATATTGCTGTTGAAACACAGGTATTCCCCTGCCACGTCCCACCGTGAGGCGGCATCAGGTATTTTCACTGCTGATGACTTCAACAGTGTCTTGCAGAGCTTGGCCCATCTCCTGCTCCAAAACAGACCTCCCCTTAACACCGCCTTGTGCGCGTACAGTGTAGCCCACCCCAATGGCAGGTCTGCTATACTCTCCGTCACACCTCTTATGAGCGGGCACTCCTGAAGCAATGCCAGACCCACACACCGTAAGGCAACGCTGTCCATTCTTCCTCTCGGGTCAACCACTCCCAATCCGCCCTGCTCCCTTGGCGCATAAATCAAGTCACAGCTCCAGAGCCTTAAATGTCTCTCCGTATCCGCATGATTTCCTGACGCGAAATTCTCTACCAGTGCCTCCACCCTCTTCCACAGCAGGTCCTCCGGCGGGTACACATGGGCTTGGAAAATAAACACCGGCAGCACATAGCTGTTGATCATCGTCACCCGCGCACCTGTCGTAAGGTACTTGCATTGCCACTTGCTCAGCTCACCCTCCGCCCTGTCAAATGATTTTTCCCACGTGATCTCCGCACACCCGCCTGGCGTTATCCAAACACCCAACAGTCTTTCCGCCGCGTTTTTTCCTACCCACTTAAACTCCAGTCCGTCTGGCGCGGCTTTCTCCACATTGCACCCCAGTGGCAGGAGTGCAGACTTCCCCTTGTTCACCTTCAAGCCTGACACCTCCGCGAACTCCTTCAGCACTTGCTCCGCCATCTTCAGCTGATGTTCCCCATCCAGCATCAGCGTTGTATCATCTGCATAGCCGACGTACGCCAGTCTCTCACAGCCGTCCTCCCCTATGCCAAACTTTCGCTCTTCCACCAAACGGCTCAGTGGCTCCACCGCGCACAAGAACAGGTAAGGAGCCAGCGGGCACCCCTGCCTCACCCCCTTACGCATTTATATCTTCTCACCCACCCAGCCGTTGACGCAAAGTCTTGTGTGGACGTCCCTGTGCAGTGCCTCGATCCAGCCCACAAACCGCGAGGGAAACCCCAGCTTCACTATCGTCTCCAGCATGAAATTCCGGCGCACCGAGTCATACGCCTTCTCGAAGTCAATCAATAGGAGGTACCAGTCGTTGTTCTTATTCTTGGCCGCGTCGATTAAATCCGCCACCAGCGACACCGCGTCCGTAAGCCTTTTCCTTGGCAAAAACCCATATTGTGTGAGAATAATTGAGAATGAATGATTGAACTAGAAACGAGATGGGTACAAGTAGAGAACACAAAAGTGTTGTACCCTCTAAGAACTACCCCACTACAGCCTAAACAGACTATAGCAGATATAAGTTTGACACACCCCCATAGGCAAAGTGGGGGAGAACAAGAGGTCACAAGACCAGTCAAGAAAGACAAAGCAAGCTCAGGGTGGATCACAAAGTCACCACGCAGTCTGAGCACAAGTAAATGGCCACAAGGCCAGTTCATATGCAGAGTCATATAAAAGAAAACAAACAATAAACAGAACAAAACCTAGCAAGAGTAAGCATGCAGGTATATGTATAAAGAGTACAGTACAGGCAGAGTCAGGCAGAAAGCAAGTGAGGCACAGTAGGTACAAGGCCTAACACAGTGCAGAAACGCTGATGATCACAAGGCTGAAGTGCCTTGGTGAAAACATCAGCAGTGTTGGCCTGAGAGGCCACGTACGCAAGACGAAGCTGGCCACGCTGCTGCAACTCTCGAGCAAGGAAGTAGCGCAGAGCAATGTGCTTCGTTCTGTGCTCCAGTCTGTGCTCCTGACACAAGGCCAGCATGTCCTTGTTGTCGACGTACAGAACTGGAGGAGAACGAGGCGCCTCTCCCAAGTCGGTCAGCAGGTAGGTAAGCCAGCGTAGCTCCTGTGCAGCCATGGCCCCAGCGTAGATCTCAGCCTCACAACTGGAGCTGAGAACAGAAGAAGAGCGGGTAGACCGCCAAGAGACAGAACCGGAGCCAAGGCTGAAGGTGTAACCCTGTGACGACCGCTGCGTAGCCAA